GGTCTCAAATGGGCTAAATTATATGTCCACATCTTATAATTCTATACTATTCTCTAGTTGTGCAATGAACAGAACTGCTTATATTGATTATTTCTGCACTCTTCAAAAAAAAATGTGCAGGGGAGCAACAGAAAACGGACAACTTTGTTCCTTATCTATCACTAAAATGTGCATATCAATTCCTTAGGGTACTCTACAGGGTACTGAACCTTAGGGGCAAATAAGGTATCATTTTGCTCATTCTTTAATGTCCTGTTTGCACTTGATTTGATTTATTGTGGTATTTTAAGGCATCATACAAACTACAATTTACACAAAACCTATAAAACTGTTCACGTCTAAGAGTCAGTTGTTGTTCTAAAAAATAACTGCTATTGTTTTAGCTTAGATTTATCAATGCATTATATAATTATTAACACATTTTAACTTTTTCAATAGTCACATTTTTACTTTAAGAATATGTAATAATGAAAAGAACTCCAAAGGATATGTTTTTTTTTTTTTATATGAAAAGAACATAACAAACTTTAAGAACATACCATGAAACAATTAACCAAATAAAGCAATATATATATATATTAAGACACTTATCTTCTAAGCCCAAAGGCCAAAAAGCTGAGTTTAAATAAACGAAACAGTACAAGAACATCAATTCTGACCTGCTTTCTTACAAATTTCAAAAAGACTTGCAAGAAATGTATTTATGACATGATGGCTTGAGACAAAGGTTTTATTATTAAAACGGCTTTGAAATCTCAGAGGGAGATTTTTAAATGACGAGATCTTACAAAAATACATCATGGCAAGGTCTGTATGATTTTCTGATCAAAAGGTAGTTACAAAGCATTGTTGTAACAAAACGATCTCACCCCCTCTCACAGTGAAGAACAGAGAGGTCACTAGTGCAAGTATTGTATGGAAATGGCCCTTATAGTGCATTGTCTGCTGATCTTACTAACAGCTTCAGCTGAGCTGAGCAGACCTTGAGGCACACTAGAATAACAACGAAACATCTTCACCCTCTTTTTCATGAATGTTATTGCCAGTATTTCTAGAAAGGGAAGTCTGTAAAACAGATAGTTGGATTTACCACAGTTTTATCCATCTTTGTCAAACTTTTAGCTCTACATATACTTAACACAAAACTCTTCAGAATATACAAATTGACTTCATGGCCAAGTGTAAAGAAGTAATTTCTTCAGCTCGTCTAAGGGACAAGCATAATGATACCCACTCTCCGTACACTTCAACTGAACATGCGTTATGCTGTAACACAAAACAGGAGAGTTTCCCTGTAACACAGTAACACCTGCTCACAGCAGTAACCTGAACTCAAACGCTTCCGCAATCACGCTCACGTCCTCTTATTATCACATTGTTAACGTAACTTCACAACACAAAATCATGCGAGATATATTAAATTCTTCCCTTCATAAATAAATGCCTGACTCCTGCTTCCCCAAAACAGTATATACACGTGGCATCATTTGTATACATCTTCTGTGTTACATCCGAAACCGAAACCTTTAGTTCCTGAATATATGTTAATTAAATTTGTTTCTGGGGAAAAAAAAGCATTGGAACTCGATCCTTGGTTCTGGTAAAAGCACTTTTCTCAGCACATTCTTAAAAATAAAGGTTATTTATTGGCATGGATCCATGAAGAACCTTGAGGCTGCAGTCAACCAATCATCCATGGAAACTCTCATGATTCTCCATTGGTTCTTCTTGGAACTGTTCACTGAAAGGTTCTTCTGTGGCATCACTGTGAAAACCCCCTTTAGTTTTAAGAGTGCAGGAACCGAAGCTTAGTTATTAACGGCAAAGCAAGCTCTGTGTTGAAGATGTAAGAGTCCCGCCATTAAGAGTCTGTAGAGTTCAAATGGCTTGTAAACACATTAGGAGGCATTGAGGACAGACCTGCTGTAGAGGGTCTGGTAGTACGCACCAGAGTCAATGGCGGACGGACCTGCACTGTCATAGATCTGTTTGGTGGCCACTGGAGAAGTTGTGGTGTAGCTGTTGTAAGCCATCACCTGGTCCTGGTACGACTTGAGGTCCATCTTCTGCTCGTTGGACATGAGGTTGGTGATGGAGAATGGATGGTTGAAGTTGTAGTGGGGGTCCATGGACTTCAATGGGTCGTTCTGCAGATCCAGGTGCTGCATCGGGCTGGCCAACAGGTGAGGGCTGCCGCCCATTCCCTGAGAGTGCAGGTGCGAGCCGGACGGGGGCATGGAGGAGCACACTGAAGATGGAATTGGCACTGGCGAGCTGTGCGAAAGGTTGGGGGCCTGAGACGGGCAATCCATATGCACCAGGCTCCTCTGTTGCTCCCCCGAGGCATGGGAGCTGTCGGAATGGGCAGAGTCGGCACCTTCAGAGCCGGTGACGGGACTGTGCTCCTCTTCAATCCCCTCACCGCTGTGGCCGCCCTTGGCGCTGCTGCCGCCCTCCTGAGACTTCGCCGAGCTCTTTTTGCCAGATTTATCCTCGAGCTTGAAGCGCTTCTGGCGACGCAAGTAGCAGCCATTCTCGAACATGTTCCCGGAATTGGGATGAAGCGCCCAGTAGGAGCCCTTGCCGGGCTTGTCGGGGGAACGCGCCACTTTGATGAAGCAGTCGTTGAAGGACAGAGAGTGGCGGATGGAATTCTGCCAGCGTTGCTGGTTCTCGCGGTAGTACGGGAACAGATCCATGATCCACTGGTAGATTTCATTGAGCGTCAGCATCTTGCTGTTGGACTGTTGGATGGCCATCGTGATGAGGGATATGTAGGAGTACGGTGGCTTCGCGTGGGTCAGCGAGCGACGGTACGGCTTTGGCATCTCCTTAGTCCGGTTGAGAGAGGTAGGAGAGGGGTAGCTGATCTGGGACATTGGCTGACCCATGCTTTGGTAATGCGAGAGGGGACCCAGGGAGGAGGCAGAAGAGCCCAGCTGGGTCAGAGAACTGTGGTTCAGAGAGGAGCCGACAGGGGACAAGCTCATGTGGTTGGGGCCTCCACCCATGCTGCTCAATGGGCTGCTGTTGAGACCTGCGCTGGGATAGCCCATATTCATGCTGGATGTGGAACAGGCAGAGTTCAGATTTATGTAGCTGTTCAAGCTGCTCACTGAGTTCATGGCGCTCGGAGAGGAATACATCTAAAAGAAAAAAAACACAGGACATTAATGTTTGCCATCAACAAACAAATTAGTAAATATAAAACAAAATGTTATAGTTTATAAACATATGCACACAAAATTATAATAAGGCATTTTGCCTAGTCTTCTATATTATAAAGTTAATGCCAAACTACAATAGATAGATAGATAGATAGATAGATAGATAGATAGATATTTAGAATTTTGCACTTAATTTCGTTTTACATATAAAACTAACTATTAGTTAAACTGACCCTATGAGTCGGTGTTTTTAAAACTCCTCAGAATTATTAGAATGAATCTCAAAAATAGAATGAAACGAATAAAAAAAATAATTCAAATCTCACCTAGTGTTTGCGGTCACAAAGTGGCTGTGCACATAATTAACAGTAAATGTAAATATGAATTGAATTAATGAATGAATTATGTTTCACAGAATTCACAAAGAAAGTTTTCGGTTGGATCTAGCTACTTAAACGTAAAATGGGAACACGAGACTGTAACGTGAAATTAAAATCAAAATGTAATCGAAAGCTAAATGTCGACAATTAAATATAATATGTTCTATTAATAAAGTAATACTAACATGCAAATATTAAAACAATGCATCATTTTATTGTCCAAACATTTAAATGTTATTTCGTATTTTCTATCTATCTATCTATCTATCTATCTATCTATCTATCTATCTATCTATTTACTACCCAGAAGGCTGGGTTAAACATTTAACCCAACCGCTGGGTCAAAACAACCCAATTGCTGGGTTTGTCCCTATTTTACCCAGCACTGGGTTGTATTTAACCCAGCATTTTTTTTAGAGTGTATTAGGCTAATAATTATTGTTTTATCATTAGGTGTGTTTCTTTATTTATTGCTTGCTGAAATCATTTAATCACGTGTTCCACATCTGACCAATGATTTGGCCAATTACCCTGATGCTGCAAATTCAATTCTGTTACAACATAGGCTATATTTTCGATATCATGAAACAAGACTGAAGACACGTCAAAACAATATGGAGAACCAAACCTAGTGGTCCCAAAAATATCTGGAAGTGTCCAAATATATTTGGGGCTGTTGTATAACAAGTCTACTAATAGATGCTGGCACTTTCAAATCTTTTACATTAAAACTATTGTCATAAAGTATGCCTTTGACATGTAAAAATGGAAAGAAAACAATCTGGACCATAAACTTGTAAAAAAAACCAGAGTGGATCTGTTGTCATAATATTGAACTAGTCATCGCCTCCAAGGATTTAAAAGCCAATGGGTTACAATAGAAAATATAGTGATCTGCTTACTTGTAATAAAAATCTATTGTGTGTCTACCCATTAAGGTTTAAATGGAAGTTCCCAATGTAAAACTTTCCCTATATCTGTCCTTGTTATCTGACGAAATCCACAAAACCATTTTACCACAAAAATATATGTTATAGCATCATATGATACGACAATATTCAGCATGTCTATCTTTGGTTTTCTATTCATTCAAAGACTTAGTGGTACATAAAGCAACATAGTATCAAATCTAGAGATTGCACATCTAGAACCATTGAAAGGGATAATTCTTGTACAATCTACACGGAGTAAAAAACATAAAGCTATCTATTATACATGCTGTATCAAGAAGCAATCTGAAGGAAGGGCTTTTAGCACTTAGTAATATTCCTGGACTAGTTTTATGCAGCATAGACGACAGCAAAGACAAGAGTGTGCCTGTAGTCGGTGCAGTTCTGTGATTGTAAAGGAAGTTGCATTTCCAAACAAGCTTCCCGCTGTACAATCTGTATCTGTCTGGTGGTTTGTAGCACATTCTGGGAATTCACCCCACCGGATCTTTGAAATTATTTTATTTTTTTTTCAAACCTGGCTTTGGTTTGCAGACTGAAAGTTCTTAAAGCGCTGCTGAAGAATCGACGCGGGCCAACAAATCTGAAATAAGTGCTGGAGGGTTTAATACATGGGCATCTCTTAATCTCTAATCGCAATTTCAATTCTCTGTATGTATGTGCTGTACATGTGGAAGAACTGACAATAAAGCAGACTTTGACTAAAGAGAAAAATGGCTGTATTCTCCATCGTCTCAGGAAAAGGAGGGGGAAAGACAGTGAAAGGCAAGAGGGGGCTTGGGTAGATGGAGGAAGAGGACCTGCCCGCCAGCAGCTGTCTCTTCAGTGCTGTGGGCCTCGTGATCACCGCGACCATCTTTAGTGCTCAGGATCGCAGCTCCCTCAGAGTGAGGTTTGAGTTCTGTAGCGGAGGCATTAATATACATGTTAACATAAAGATTGTGCATTATTCATATGACAAATAACACATATATACACACATACACACAATATCATTCAAAAGTTTGGAACTGGTACAATTTAATGTTTGTAAAAAAATCCCTTCTCACCAAGGCTGCATTAATTTGACCAAAAATATAGTAAAATCAGTAATATTGTGAAATATATTTACAGTTTAAAATAACTGTTTTCTATGTGAATATATGGTCAAATGTAATTTATTCTTGTGATGCAATGCTGAATTCTCAGCATCATTATTACTCCAGTCCTCAGTGCCACATGATCCTTCAGAAATCATTCTAATATGCTGATTTGCTGCTCAAGGAGCATTCCTGATTATCATCAATGATGAAAAAAGTTGGGCTGCTTCATATTTTTGTGGAAACCATTTTCCAGGATTCTTTTATGAATACAAAGTTCTCAATAACCATATATTTGAAATTGACAGAAATCTTAAACGTCTATATTGTCACTTTTGATCAACTTAATGCATCCTTTCTGAATAAAAGCATGTTATCAAACCTGCTGCTGGCCGTTAGGGGTCCCTTTCTTTCTTCACCTTCACATCACCTGCCAAGATTGTAGAGATCTCGCCTTGCATGAAGGCCCACGGCACGTTGGAGCCCACGAGAGGGCACTTCTCTCCACTGGGGCAGTACACCTCATTCCCTGAGCCCTGTCTGCAGATGAAGTCCCGAGTGCAAGGGAAGCAGAACTTGTGCCCGGGCACCGACGGACACTGGACGAAGTGCGTGTCCTCCAGGCGCTCGTGGCAGATGGTGCAGCAAAGAGGGGCACCGCCACCGCCTCCTGAGCCTTCGCCTCCCATAACGGTGCCCTGGTCAGAGAGGGACGCGGTGACGGTCGTAGTCAATCCTCCTGCGCTACTGCCCGCCGATGGTTCTCCGTTGCGCGAGGCCAGCCGCAGCTGAACGCCTAGGGCTGAAGGACTTGCGCTGTTCTGCCGCCCTGCGTTGGCTGAGTGGCCACTGCTGCTGCCTGGAGCATCTTTAGGGGACTGGGTGGCTGTGCCGACGTTGTCAGCCACACTCATGAGCGCCGAGATGGGCGACGGGTCGCTACCATGCGCCCCCATGCCCTCTGGAGGCTGTCCCACGCTGGCTAGCGAGGTTGCGGGCATATGGCCGGGCAAGCCGGGATATGCAGCAAGCGGCCAATGCTGGCGCATCTCCTCAGAGGTCATCCTCTCGGCACCGTCCAGCTCGGGCGAGGCTTTGCGTCTGCGCACTCTTGGCTGCATGGGACGGCCGATGTGGCAGAGCGCGCTGGGTAACATGGAGCAGCTGGGGTCCAGGTAAGGCTGCGGGAGGGATTCTGGGGCCGGAGCATCTTTGAACACCCGCACTCCATCGCTGAGCAGCTCCGACAGGAGACGCCAGTCACCGGTGCCGTGCCTTTTCTCATACTCCACGTATTTGTACCCCGAGTTAATGACCTTGCCGGTGTCTTTCTGAGAGTCGTGGAACATCTGCTTGACCAGTGCTAAGACGCTGGGGAACACGTTACCGGATCCGCACGGGTACTCAATGAAGACCTTCAGCTCAAACTCAAGCATCAGCTTGGCGTCAAAAGCGAACACCCTTCCCACCAGGCCGTGGTCTTTCTTAAAGCGGACATTGAATGGAGTGCAGCCAGAAAAGGTGTGCAAGGCCTCGCGAATGTGTTTGGGGCGTCCCACCCAGTCTTCTGCACGGTTCCGCACACTTTCAGAAAGCTCAGCAAGGGTTTCGGCATTCCTCTGCTTCTCCTTGAGCTCCTTTTCGAATTCTGGGCTCATGAAAGACGCCATGCCTACGTTCATCCCCATGCCTATGGCCTGTCTCTTACTGAGCTCGTTCAACATGGGAGCGGAAATGGTCAAGGGGGCGCCTCCAGCTCGGGCATTCAGACCAGGCATGGCAGTCAGCAGGCCATGAGGGGTTCCGACAAGCCCTTGCGCCATTAAATTGGGTGGCACAGCCCCCAATAAAGTCCTCCTGGCGGTAGGACTCTGTCTACTAACCTCAGGCGGACCTCCATCTTCCAGTCTGGGCAGCCCGTTGGGCAGCCTGGCAGACACATATTCTCCCCTTCCCCGCTCATATCGCTCGGAGGGCGGTCTGCCGGTCTCCATAGGACCCTCCTTACCAGCGGGAGCGTGTTTAGCGCCGGGCTGCGGACCCGGAGATCTGCCGTCCTGCATCACATGTGTTCGCTTGAGCTGCCGCGCCGCGTCGATGAGCAGCTCTATTCTGTCCGCGCCCTCGTAGTTGACGCAGCCTCTGCACACGGCCTCGCTGAAGTCCCAAATCATGGCCCACGGCATCTTTGGCAGGTCGCAAAGGTAGCACCATTGCCGCCTGGAAGACGCCTGCGAGGAAGAGGACATATTTGATAGGCCCTCGCGATCTTGCGTTCTCAAATCCACCGTGAATCTCTCTCACAGCCAGCCTCCGAGCGCTTGCGGTCGACTATTTCCTCGTTACGGACGAGTTTATGCAACTCCGTTGGATTTTGTGTCATTCAGAATCGAGGTGTTTGATGTTTCTGCCAAATCGTCTGGGCCGCAGAGTCTCTCCTGGAAGACGTTCCGAAAGTTACGCAACTCTGGCCTGAGGAATTGTGGGAAGTGTAGTTTTTCTACAGCCGGGCGCGCTCTTCCCTCGTAATGCTTTTGCCCAAAGAAAGTCCTTTATTTATTTAATTTTTTTAATATTTATGGATAATGGAAGAGAGGCATCGGACATCACATAATCTTTTTTTATTGTGAGGCTCACAACATATATTTAAAATATAACTTATTTAATTGTTTATCGCGGAAATAATTAGTATTTAGTATTTATTTTAGCACTATTTTCTCTGATCTATAAAGAATATATTTAGTATAATTTTATTAGATGTATCTCGAACTATAATGACTTACATTGCCTCCTTTATTTATTTATTATGATTATTTTTTTTATCATAAAACATCATTGTAATAATCATTGCTTAGTCAAAACACTTATAACCATACTAGCAATATTAAATGTGAAAAATGGCAACACGTTCTTGCAAAAGGTTATGAGACTGCAATTCCCATTTTACAAATAGTTAGTATTTAGTATTTATTTTAGCACTATTTTCTCTGATCTATAAAGAATATATTTAGTATAATTTTATTAGATGTATCTCGAACTATAATGACTTACATTGCCTCCTTTATTTATTTATTATGATTATTTTTTTATCATAAAACATCATTGTAATAATCATTGCTTAGTCAAAACACTTATAACCATACTAGCAATATTAAATGTGAAAAATGGCAACACGTTCTTGCAAAAGGTTATGAGACTGCAATTCCCATTTTACAAATAGGTGACGTCACGTCCGCTATTCCCAACTGCGTGTTTCAGAAACTTCCGGTGTTATATTACAGATAACGTTCCGTGTTACTGTAGTAAGCACTGTTTTTCTGTTTATTTGTTTAACATTTTAATTATTTTTATATGATACTTATGATATATAGACTTGTGATACTTGTTTATAAGGCTTAATGTTAACTAATTTACACAAGAAACGTCTTATTATTTTTAATATTTTATTTGAATTGTAGGCTTTGGTAAATATATGCTAAGTGAGTACTTATTTTAAATCGTAAACAGGAAATGATATCACAGAACAGTCTATGCAAATACACTGGGCGAATAAATAATTATATTACACAATACACAACCACTTAATACAGTTGTTCCTGTAGCCTAATAACAGCATAAAAAAACATTGGGCTTGATATATATATGTATATGTGTGTATATGTATATGTGTGGGTGGGTGTGTATATATGTGTGTATATATGTATATATATATATATGTATATATAAAGTGTGACGTGACATGTGGCCAAGTATGGTGACCCACACTCGGAATTAGTGCTCTGCGTTTATCCCATCCTAAATGCACACACACACCGTGAACACACACACACACCGTGAACACACACCCGGGGCAATATATACTGTATACTTATAATGCTGATTGTTCGTTCACATTTTGTGGACCAAGATGTCTGTCTGATCCCTATTTATCCTCCAGAGTGGTAGAGGGTGGCCGGTCTGTATTGGTTTCAGCTGGAGATTTGCGGTAATTCTTACAAATTGTGTACAAGCCTTGCGTGAGGAAGAGCACAGAGATGGTGCTGTAGTAACCTCCATATACAAGAAACTGTAACAGAAGGGGAACAATTAAAATACAATGTAACACATCCAATCAGACACTAACAGTTTAATTCAAACATTCCACTTCTGAATGCTTCATGTTATGATTTATGTTACTTTCTTGACAATCTTTTTAACCTTGTAAAACCTAGTGTATCATTCGATGCATCTAAATGATCATAATTTTCAAAACTTGTGAAAAACATCATGTACACAATCTACTAGGCCAGGGGTAGGCAAGTTCGGTCCTAGAGAGCCGCAGAGTTCAGCTCCAACCCTAATCAAACACACCTGAACAAGCTAATCAATGTCTTCAGGATTACTAAGGCTATAGGCAGGTGAGTTTTGTTTTCAGGGTTGGAGCTGAACTCTGCAGGACTGCGGCTCTCTAGGACCGAACTTGCCTACCCCTGTACTAGGCCTACATGTTGTCTGCTATCCGATTGATAGTTTATACTTTTACTATAATTGTAAGGTTCAGGTCAGGTATTGGTTGCGGTTCATATGTCTCTTGGGAGATAGAGTGACAACTTATATTTATATGCATTTCATGTACAGTAAGTAGCCTATTATACCGTTATAAAGTTATCAGAATTTCATCTTAAATTTGGGCTACATAAATATCAGAATCTGCACCAAATGCAAACTTAAAAAAAAATAAAAAATTCTGACTATTATTTCATTGTCTCTTGGGAGATAGAGTGACAACTTATATTTATATGCATTTCATGTACAGTAAGTAGCCTATTATACCGTTATAAAGTTATCAGAATTTTATCTTAAATTTGGGCTATATAAATATCAGAATCTGCCCCAAATGCAAACTTAAAAAAAAAAAAAATAATTCTGACTATTATTTCATATAGGCTTATATTTCATTAAGTTCAGTGTAGTGAGAGCTTACTTGTGTCCCAATGTCCAGTCCCAGGGCTGAATTGTCCACCACAATAGCAGTAAGTATAGTTTGAAGTGTAAGAGCAAAAAAAGTGTTAATACCAAAAGTTAGAGCATAACATTCCATTGAGAGGTTCACCGCTATCTGAAACCTTCCAGCAAAAAGGGGGGGAAAAATAAGGAAAACATTAGTCATGGAAAAAAGACCTATATATACTGTATATTCCTTTTCATTATCTCTTCTCTCTCTATATATATATTTCTACATATAGAAAACTTATGCTTCCTAAGTCCATTGTGTAATGTCTAACTTACATTGTGACTGTGATGAGGAACATGTATGATGCTTTGAAGATAGCGTAGCCTGCATAACACAGCCAGATATTGTTAGTGAGGGCCATGAGAAAGACACACCCTGCTCCTATGGCAGAGAAAACACCCAGCGAGAGCTCGCCCCACACATCCCACTGTACTCTGATATAACCCACAGAGAAAGCTGCCGCCGCACCTGAAAGCGGCAATCACAGCATGAATCACAATGAGAGAGATGTTAAACCTGTGACCAAAGAAGAGGCACGACACAAGGCAACAATTAAATCAGGGAAATGCATTTAGACTGTATTTGTATTCTGTGTTGCACTCAGAACTCATTTATGTTGCCTTTTTTATGTTCTTGTCAAGACATCAAAACGGAGAGATGTTCTCTTCTGCTTTAATTAAAGTGACTATACCAAACCCCTACTGTTGGAATTGCTTCAATGATCTTCCCCCACACATACTGGGCTGCTGAATTCCAATGCAAACTGCATAACAATTATGCTACATGATTCAACATGATTTGCGGATAAAGCAGGATTGGTTCAGCTAGGCATATTCTGATATTGTTCACTATAAAGATAAAGAATTTATTACACTATTGATGGTGTTTATGCTTAATGAAGTCTTTGACTCTCAGATACACTCATACTCTTAAAAGTAAAGTTTCCTTATTGGCATCTTTGGTTCAATGAAGAACCTTTAACATCCATGAAATCTTTCCATTCCGCAAAAGGTTCTCTACACTCTTAAAGGCATAGTTCACCCCAAAATACAAATGTTGTCATCATCTACTCACCCTTATGTTGTTTTAAACCTGTATCAATATCTTTCTTTTGTTGAACACATAGTATTTTTTTCCTCCATACTATGGAAGTCAATGGCTACCAGCAACTGTTTGGTTCCCAACATTCTTTGAAATATCTTCTTTTGTGTTGAACAGAAGCAGCTCATTTTCCAAAAGAGGGGTTTTCGCAGTGATGCCATAGAAGAACCATTTTAGTTTCCTCAAAGAACTGTTTCTTTTAAAAAACAGAGCAATGGAAAGGTTCCATGGATGTTATACATTCATGGAAGCAGATGGCAATAAGAGTGTAGATCATTCAAATGTTCTTCACACTAAAAGGTTATTTTAAGAATGTTTCACCGAAAGATCCTTTGGGGAACCCAGAATGGTTCTTCTACTGCACCGCTGTGAAAATGAACTTTCTGAAACTTGATTTTTTACTAAAATACTCCAAAAAATGCCTCACCTACAAGTGTGCAGACCGCCTCTACTCCCCCATTATACACGGAGGATGTACTGGAGGGCTCAATGTGGTCCCACATCAGCTGAACGTAGTTAAAAACCTGTCCATATCCAGCTGTAGCCAAAGCCCACCAGAGGGACCACTGCACCAGCCTTCTGGAGGAGTAGGACTCTTTGAGACTCTCCCACATTTGTTTTCCTGAGGTTTTAATGTTTCCCCAATCGCAGCATGTTCCCGTAGCCTGCTTTCTTAGATCCGTTTCTCCCCCAAATGCATCTGTAACCTCATTCAGTGTGTCCGTAGACACCTCCGCCTTTTTCTTAAAAAACATTCCATGCTGAGGCATCGGCAGGCCCAAAGAAATACAGAAAGCCACTGACATTATACCCAGAGTAATAGTGTTTACATGGAAGTAGCTTGTGTCAGCCAGTGAAATTAATAGCTGTCCTAATGTGGCTCCAAAGGCATATCCAGTCAGCATGGCACTGCGAACGTACCCCGTGGCTCGTTGGTAGCGTTCAGGAGAAATGACGCTGTAGATATATGAAAAATAGGCCACTTCGGTGGAGGTGACCATTGCAAAGTTGAACTGTAGGTAGGTCAGAGCAATTAAACTGGTAGCAAAGCACAGAAGTATGTAATTTATGACAAGAAAAAGACCTTGAGTTATTATTAGAGGTTTGTATCTAAGTAAGTCTGTCAACAGGAAGACTGGACAGAGTACAGCCAGATATGAGTACGTCCAGATGGGGAACAGGTAGTTTGTTACCTGGATGAGCGGAAAGAAGATGGTCATTGGTCATTTGAATCAGAAACAACAGGAAATGTTTAGGTAAATGATTTGAAATCAATGCAGCTATTGCAAGCTATATTGCTTAAGAGATAAGACTCAAAAGGCACGAGTGATGCATCGCTATTTTAGTAATCAATGGAGAATGTCAATGCAGTTAACCAATATTTTGACAATAGTTTCGGTTTAATTTTAAGATTCTGAAGTTTTAAAACAGATAATATGATTATAGCTCAGAGAAAGGTTTGGGTAAGGAAATACGTTTTCAAGGGCACCTATAGTACATCTAATACAGTCAATACTATTGACATTCATTTATCATTGCCATTGTAACGGGAGCATTTGCCACACCAAATTATCAGTATATTATAGTGTAAATTGTTCTGTGTGTGCTTGTTTCTCACTGTTGTTATCTGTCTGAGCCCTTAAGCCAACGTGAAAATATGAAAAAACAGCAATACTCACCACTTCCTCTGAGATGTTTTTGGGTCCCACCAAGTAAGGTGTAAGAAAAGGCTCTGCTGGTCTGCAGTTGGCAAAGAAACCATAAAGAGAGAGCAAAACAGTGGGGAAGACCCAGTCTGACCTCTTCATTTTCCTCCAGAAATTCATTCTTATCTGCCTGTCTGTATTTTCACTACCACAAGATTATATCTCTCATTTTAGGTCAAGGAGCTGTTGGTCTGGTGTATCTGTTGGTGTTTTTGCTGTGTAGTGTAAAGTAAGCCAAGCCCAGTCCCTGATTTCCTCATAAGGAGCTGTAAATGAAGGTAGGAATCAGGGTAAATGAATATATATATTTATGATGGAGACTTTGACTTTTGTGTGTGCATGTAGGCCCTAATTGTTGGTGTGTGCATATATGTGTGTGTTGACAAAAAGTAAAATAAATCGAATGCTGTTTCAAATCATTTAACCGTATTAATTCATGTTTATTAGTATAGCATTTTTTACTATACATATTGTTTCAAAGCAGCTTTACATACACAAACAAACAAACAAACAGATATATGACCAGGGTTTATAGCTTGAGAAAATTCAGAAGATTTCTAAATAAGGCACATACTAATCTGCAGTGTGTTGTCAATATGCTCCTGAGAACCATAAAAAAAAAAAGTTGTGTGATTTAAAAAAAAAAGTCATTACATTGGTTGGCGCTAAAGAAACAAATGTAGAAAAAAAACATTTTTGAAAAATTACATTTTATTCATATTTTATGCTATGTCCTTTGTAGAGGACGCCAGGACTAAGTTATTCAAAAAATAAAATAAAATAAAATTAGACATGAAAAGGCATGTATAGACAAAAACAACGTTTTATTTTTTCATTAACCAATCACTTTTTTGGTTTCAGGCTATTTTTAACCAAACTTTGTACAAAGGTGATTCTCAACTATGTTATGAAAGATATAACAGAATGATTTGATATACTATTTTACTTTACTTTATGCAATTTGTGTGTAAAATGTCCATAAACTGGTATTCCCCTTCTATACAATGTATCAATTAATTGCATCTAATTTGCATATGAATGTGTTCTTGGGGCAAACCATAATGAAAAAAGAAGTGTAATAATGGGAGTAAAAACTTGGCAACATTTTCA